TTCAGCCGGCAAACAAAATGACAGGCCTACTGTTGAGCCATTATGAATCGGGCTGCGAACCTTAAGGTCAGCAGTTCGAAACTACCAGCTGTTCTGCGGGGGAAAAGATGAGGCTTTCTGCTTCTGTAAAGATTTACAGCCTCGGAAACCCTGTACAGAGTCGTTATGAGTTGGAACCGACTCCACGGCACATAACAACAACAGCAACTGTTGAGCCAGCCAGTCAAATACGTGAGCGCTGGTGGCTGGGATGGAGACTAGAAAACAAAAGCTGTTCTGTTGATACTTTACCCTAGAGGACTACCAGCTGGCTGAGGGAACGTTAGCACTAAGAGGATGAACACTGGAACATGTGGAAGGGAAACTGGAGAGGGCAAGTCAGGGCACAGAGACGTTAAACTGGCCTATGGTCACACAGATGAGAGGTGGCAATGCCAGGATATGAACCCAGAGCACCTGACTCTTAAGCACTACAGTACAAGACCCTTCAGCACAGGCAGATACAGTTACTGGAAGAAAAATAAAACCAATGCCAATAAGAAAAGACTCAATGAATTACACCATGGTCTTGCTTTAGGAGATTTACCTTCTGAGTTAGGAGTCCTTGGGTGGTACAAATGGTTAATGTGCTCAGCTGCTAAACAAAAGATAAGAGATTTGAGTCGACTCAAAGGAGCCTCAGAAAAAAGGCCTGGCGATCTCCTTCCAAAAGATCACCCACTGGAAACCCTACAGAGCACAGTTCTACTCTGATACACACGGGGTTGCCAGGAGTCAAGAGTTAACTCAATGGCAGCTGATAGACTGCAAGTTGCTGGGAATTTTGAATTAATGATGTCTGTCTACACCAGCTGCCCACCATTGCCCTTCCTCTTTAGAAACCAGGATGGGGTGCTCTCTCTGAGCGGACCTGAGAGAGACCATGGAGACCCGTGGGGCCCAGGCCTCTTCCTGTCTGGAGTAAGGGCTGAGTTGGGCAAACTGGGTTATTTACTTTTTTTTTTTTTACAGAGCAGATCATGAGTTTTTCAATGAACAAATCCTATACCCTTTGCTTCATTACAATGATTGCAATCCCTTCCACGTACCATCAGTTAACAGTATTTACCACTATTTCCTTTAACTCTTAGTTTTAAGGCACCCCTCCGCCCAGCCCTTACTGAGATGTCATGAGGCAAGAATGAGTCACTCTGCTGACAATGTCCCGCATTGTAACTAATGCAAACACAAGATGCAAATGAGCT